AACCAAAATGCAGATGCCTCGTCTATAAGGCCCGGTTAACACCTGGGCTTTTTGTAGCGCGTTCCTACGCTCTGCAAAACGCTCAAACACCGAAATCCCATTATTTCCTATGGGTATGGTTCACACCTGGGCGTATTACAGGCCGTATGAACGCGCTACAAAAACGCCCTACGCCCAAAGAAGTACAGGAGCTTCTTTGGGGCGTATTTGCCAAGCGTATCCATTGGGATACAGCCAGGTAGCCCTCGGAAACGCGCGTTTGTCGTGCGGTTTTTACCGCGAATGGCGGTAAAGACGCACGGCACAAAACATGCGACAAACGCGCATATTCGATGCGCCTAGGTGTGAACCCAGCCTTATAGCATTCATTCTAAAAACAGAATCAGAAATGACAAATACGAGACTTTACACCCGATTTCTTAACAAGCTGCTACATGTCCAACCCAGCCAAAAAAACAGATTTTTCATTTAACAGTGTTTGCCAATTATGTCACAATCATGACTCGCTTTAGGCGTGTGACAGATACAAGCTCTGTCATATTTCTGTAAATATATAAAATCTCCTCAACTTGACCAATATACAGAGGCTCACACAAAAGCATGTAAAGGATAACATTCAAAATATTAACAACCACAACTCTGCAACCCCCCCCCCCCCCACCATATCTCCAACCTTAACTCAAAGTATCACCCTAACCATCCCCTCCTACCAAGACTTCCTCTCCTGCTCTCAAGCCCCCTTGTTCTCTCCTCCCATGCTCACCTCCATGACTTCTCTAGAGTCTATCTCCTACTCTGCCTTTAGACTATCCCTAAAGGACCCATCTCATCAGTAAAGTCTTTCCCGCCTCAACCTAACCACTGAACTATCACTTTCCTGGTACATGATCTGAGAAAGCCAACTTCATATTTTGGAGTTATGAACAACTTTACAGTAATCAGATAGTATAAGGGGTCATATACGCCTGTTAATTGCAGCACAGCGATACAAGTATACTCACACTTTAATGCCAGACTTCCCTTTAAAACAAAAGTAGAAACAGGAAAAAGCAGAACAGCCAAGTGATTTTTAGGGTGCTAACCACTATGTACTCATGAACATAAGTGAGGTTCCATTAGGTTTGCAGCAGGTACATTTTAAAGCCAAACTCTGTGGAAACAGAATTTATGCACTGCATTGGGTGTGTATATCATCATTAAAAAGTTGTGTTTGATGTGTGGAAAAAATAATTATTGTGTTCCAGATGGCACGGGGAGAGAGGGATGGAGCTCGAGCAGTGCTACTTGCCTATTCACAAAATGCCTTGTATTTTTCTCAAATACAAGGCATTTTGTGATTAGAGGAGTAGAGGAGGGGGTGGGGATGTGACATCATCTCTTCTCCGCCACTCACAAAACACCTTGTATGCTTTGAGAAAAATACAAAGCATTTTGTGATTGGGCATGTAATGAGGAGAGGCGGGAATGCAAATGCAGCACTTCACTGCTCAAGTCACATACCCACTCCTCGCTGTACCCAGGAGCCGAAAGTTATGTGTAGTAGCTGGCATGCTGTAAGCTAAGATTTCTATACTCTGCATCAGCCCTCCAAACATGACGCCCAGTTTTTTATTATAATTTACACTCCCAGTGTGTTATGCACATTTATAATTTTTTCCTGAGTTTGGCTTTAAGCTGATATTTGAAATCCTGCAAATTCCTCAAAGAGTAGATGCTTGCGTATTCATCTAAGCGTGGATGTCACTGAAAATACAACACTCCTGTCATCTATGCAGCTGTCTTTGTGGGGAATAAAAAGATCTACTGGGATGTTGAGGGCTTGTTCACACCAAATCCAGACCAGATTATCATGAATTTCTGCATATGCAGTGCAATACATTGTGCCGCGTTTGTCACGTTACGGACTTTTTGTTTTAGCCTAAAATGGGCTTTTAGTGCATTAGTATGCATTTGCATGCGTTTTTGGTGCATTCCAGAGCAGAACAAAAATAGGGCATGCTGCAGTTTTTCCACATGCTCTGGAACTGAACACTCTGGTGAGCCCAAAATACCATTGGAATACATTGGATGCATTTTTGATGTGTTCTTTAACTGCTCTGCACAATTTGTGTGAACAAGCCCTGAAAGTGGGAAAAGTTCTAGTGTGATCCAAGGCCAGAGCAGTAAAATATGTTCTGTGTATAAGTGATAACATTCAGCAAACACACTATTAAAGTTAAGATTTATTTTACTACAAATAAACTAGCAAGACTGGATAGTCTCTAACCGAAAAGGGTGTGGAACAACAACACACAATATACTTCTTTACATGACTAGACTAGTAACTACATTATGATCTCTTCTGTGTAATTAACAACACAAGCATGACAGCAATAATGTACAAGACATTCCTCTAAAAAGGGAAAAACATTTGGAGGCTGAGAACAGTCCAGCTTTGATTGTGCAATCCTATCAGCAACATCTGCAATCGATTTTGGAGAATTGTGAAAGCATTCCATATACAACTGGTACAGTTTATGTACAGGCTTGCATACTGTTGTATTATGGAACATCAGAGCTTTCCATTAGAGGTAATAAAGAAGAAAAGTAAATGAAACTTCTGTGTTACAGTTTATATCCATAAACGTTTTTACTTATCTGGAAGTGGAAGAGAAAACAGACTCGGGTAAAACTTTTAAACAACCTCCTTTGTATGAGTTCATGTTAGGTCTATCAAAGCCGGAAGACTTAGAGGAAGGAAACTGCTGTTACTCTGCCCAATGTGTACTTTCTGATTAACCAGCTACAGGCAATCTACAGAAAACCTTCCCGCAGTTATATATAGTTGTAAAATGTACATTCAATAGACACCTTCTGAACAGCCATTAGTTATCAAAACAAGACGACTGAATGAACACAACGTAAAGCAACCATGATTCAAACTACGGTATTTATAATAAATATGAAAAGCATCCAAGAACATTTCCTCTATAAATATGATATAGATTAT